AGACTAGACTATAGACTAGACTATAGACTAGACTATAGACTAGACTATAGACTAGACTATAGACTAGACTATAGACTAGACTATAGACTAGACTATAGACTAGACTATAGACTAGACTATAGACTAGACTATAGACTAGACTATAGACTAGACTATAGACTAGATTCTAACCTCTTCCATTATTTCAAGTCCTTATAAAAACAATCGAAAATCCAGATTGTTGGTAACATTTGCCAAAATGTTTAAATATTTAAATGGTTACAACTTTTGTTTCAATTATTTTCGTTATTGTTGTTGTGTCATAAATTTCGCATTTATTTACATTCATGCTTATTTGCACTTCTTTTTTTCTTGAGCTCATTTTTTTTCAACCGTTTTGTAAACATTTTGGCATTTTTAGCGACATTTTATGAATTATTTGTCTACAAATGTTGCTGGAAACAAAGAACAACCCTTTTATTTGTAAGTGAGATTTTAATTTTTCTTTTATGCTTCCTTTCCAAAGAAATATCTTTTACATATATGTATATAATTTTAATAACTTTAAAATGATATAGAGTTTCTATTTATATCCCCTTATTTACAAATTTGCAAACAAAATATATAATATCCGTTTTATACATTATTTTTTTGCCCTAAGGGTTTAATTTTATTCTTTCTGGAAAATAGATATGAAAAGTTATTATTAAGTCTTAAAACACACTGTTGCTTTCCAAAAGTACGCACTGTTTATAAAATGGCAAAAAAGGTTAATAAGAAAAAATATTAAGTCGCGTGTTTCGTGCTATAAATGAGGTGTAACAACACACCAGTCAACAGAAATAGAGGCATGTAAAGGTTACTGTTGCTTTTGTGTTTTTTGCTATTTGGTTTCATCTTGAAAACGACACAAATGTGGCAAACCATACCAATGGAAAAGGTTTTTGCACGTTCTTTTGTAACTTTTCACTTACACATACATATATACTACTGACATGGATACATATATTCCCCTTTTGTATTTCAACACTCTCACATGTAGTGTAATTTTTAAGAGTCACGTCTCATGCGAACAAGGTTTAATAGAAATATGACATGATGCTCTCTATTATGAAGTGAGTCCAACAATATTAACCTTTGTGGAATGTTTAGAAAGTTGAAGTTTAAAGGAGTTAATGGGTGGGTTAAGACATAATATAAATTTTATAATTTAATGAAGTTTTACAGAGATGTTTTGATGTATGTATGTAGTGAAATTATAGAAAACTACATACTTTGTAATGAATTGTTAAGACAGAATGACTTTATAATGAAAACTTATTACCATTTATATTACGTAGAAGTAGTTAAGTAATGGCGGTATTGATTGGATGTGTTAAAATGTCATACAAATGTTTTTGTAATGAGTTATATATCTCCTGTAAGTTAGTGGTTAATGATCAAGTCTGGTAGATCGGAGGTGGTGGGTTCGATTCCCACCTGAGGAACTGGTTAATAGCGCACAAGAGGTCTGTTAGAGGCCCAGGTGTATTTCCTCGGATTTGATATATGTATATACATCCTCCTTTCAAAGTAACTAATTAACTATATATAAAAAGTATGTATATAATTCTCATTTAGTTAAGAACATTTAATATTTATGCAGTCAGATTGAAGGAATCATAACCTCTTGATACATCATAAGGTGGATTTTTTCTTTATTACGGCCTATGACTTAATATAGTTTGATGTTTTGTTCAGATATGAAACGACATACTGCAGCATGTGAAAAATTTTACAGTCTGAGATTTCTGTTATAAACTAACCGTCTTTGAAAATTTAAATTATAAATAAAATGGCGTCAACTTCCATTAACCCACCCCCCCTTACCTCCTACTAAAACTCTTGTCCCAGTTAAGGTCTTTAGTAATGGCTGGTTAACTGCCAAACAGTTCTTTTCATTAATTGTAAAATGTGTTTAGACTTCTTGCTAACTCCTTTCATGACCCAACACCATTTCCAAAGATTTTAGTGGACATTTTCGAATTTATCCAAAATTTTTTCTAGAGTTTTACAAATTCAAACGAACAATTCTGCACTACAAGTATAAAATTTTCTAACTGATTTTAAATATTTCAAAATATAACTGGAAATGGTGTAGTTTATTTACAGTTAAGATGTTGCTTTCCATCCAAACACAAAGTTCTTGTTTTGAAAAATGTCTTCAAAATTTTTTTTCTTTCTCCATACACACAACAACTTTGTTGTTGACATTGTTGGTTTTTGTTGCTGTTGCTGCTCATTTATTGTTGTCGCTTCGGCCGTGCATAATTAAAAAAGTTTCATTACATTTTGTTGGTTTTCTTGGTTCGTTGAAGCCTGTTTAAAATGTTAAGCAAAAAAAAAAAGAAAAGCATTTGTGTCCTGTTTGTAAATGAAATTGAAACAAATGTCAGAAAACAATAAAGATTTTCTTAAACAAATTCTTTCATTATTATTTTTTCTTTTACTTTAACTAAGTTTTTACTCAGTTGGGTGCTTTAGCCATAGGTCCGTCTGTCCGCCGTTTTTGTATTAATGAGTGGGTGTGGGTGGTATTTAATTTTACACAAAATGTGGTGTTTCTTTAAATATCATGGTTCGTTTAATTTAATATTTGACTTTAAGTTTTGTGATATTTAAAGGAATTCTATAAAATATGATAAAATTTACAATTTCACAACTAAAGAAATTTGTTTTTAATTTGGAACGCAAACAAGTTTTAAAGTTTTTCTATTGCAGAAATACATACATATATACAAGATGAAACTCTTGTATGTATATTATGAGGAGTGACCCACCAAAATATGCACAATTTTGAACAACAAAAGTGAACTGGATATAGTACTGTTTAATAAAATGAAGCTTTAGCTATAAATTTGAACCCCCTGCTCTTTTTTGCCAATTGCAAAACTTGTTGTTGTCCTTGGGGTTTTACAATTGCTACTGCTGTTGTTGTTGTGTTTTGATTTTGAAATCGTATCCATGTAAACAATATTTAAGCCACAAATATAAAAGGGAAATTTCAAATATACATACATACGCACCTCCTGCTCATAATTTCTAAGTGAAATTTTATTTTATAACTCTATTTGAAAATGAAAATTTTGAATTTTATATGAGTGTGTATAGCTGCAAAATGAAAAACATGGATTTCAAATGAATTTATAAGTGTAAAAGGAATATTTGTGTGTGTGTGTGTTTTCTGTATTGTATTTGGTATCCGAAACCATATGCCAATTACCGCGTTTGTTTGCAAAATTCAACAACATTCAGGGAATTTATGTTGTATGTATATTAAATTGCTACGCGCGTTAGTTTACTGCCACTGACACTTCTTCGATTCCCAGTGCTGTTGTCTGTTTTGCCTTTAGTCCTTGTGCTTCCTTCAATACTTTTGCACTTTATTTGTGCATTTTTGATTGTGTACGAATAGTTGCTTATGTGTGAATGTGAAATTTTCGTCTTTTTTTTTTTTGGGTAGTTTGAGGTTAAAATGGGAGAGAGATTGAAAATATTTTTGATATTCTTTTTTATTGGTTGAATGCGAAAGACAGTGGTTTAATTAAAATATTTTTTAAAATTCTTTATTAGGCCAAATTCTTAAAATTACTTGAGAACTACAATTTATAAAGAAAATAGTTGCACTGAAGTTTTTACATATTCGAAATATTGGATAGACCAAAACAGCAGCCTTGGTGGTAATTAGATTAGATAGAAGGGGCACAAAGCACTGCGACCTATGTGTGGATATTTTGTGCAGCCCATTGGTTCACCATACAAGTTTTAGTTCACGCATGAAGGTAGGTAGGGTTAGCAAGGCAGCTCCCAAGATCTTAGCTCTGCGAGGCCCTAATGTTGGGCAGTTACTTAAGATATGTTCTCAGATTTCATCTTGTAGGCAACAGAATCTGCATAGATTCGTTGAACAGTTGCCTAGTAGTAGTAGTATTTGGGATTTTCCATTTGACAGTGTAATGAAACGTTTTGTCTGTCTGAGCCCAATGGCGAATAAATTCAGATTTCACCCAAGAGTCATATTTAGCTTTGGCGTATCCTCTTGGAATGCCAAAGATGGGGTCAGGGCCGATTGGTGGTAATGATTACATTTTGAATTACGATTGCATGTGAAGTCATTGTAATTGAAGCTTGATCAATTACAATTATGTACTTGTAATTGTAATTGAAGTTTTACCAATTACAATTATTTGTAATGTAATAACCAAATACAATTACTTATGAGTAATTTCAATTAATTCTAATTGTATTTGAAGTTTTGCCAATTACAATTAATTGTAATTTATAACTACTTGTAATTGTAAACTTTTTTCCTTACAATTACAAGTAATTGTAATTGGCAAAACTTCAATTACAATTAGATTTAATTGAAATTGCTCATTGCTTAATTACACATTACAAGTAATTGTAATTTATCATGTAATGAATTATTTTATGTAATCATTACCCCATAAGCTTGTTAAAGAAGTATATATGTATATATTCTGGGACATTATTGGATTATAAGACGTAATAGTCTTGTCCGTCTGTATGTTGAAAACTGAAATAAGCTAGAAGGCTGAACATTTTAATTCTGATGAGACTAATTTAGTTATTGACACAAGAAATCTTCTTCTGAAAATATCAATGCTCATATGAATATCGATACATGACAAAGTTTTGATGGTGGATATTAAAGATTCGGTACAGTAACGCTAGTTAATTACACCACTGTGCATATTGTGTATATTTGTAGAGAAGAATAAACCCACATTGGGAGCATTTATAATAGGTAGCGTGAAATTGAAAATCCATAAATTCATAAAATTTTTGTTGTTGTGTAAAATTTTCATATTTTGAAAATAATTAAAGTTTTTTTCCAAATTATTATGTGCTACTTGAAATTAATATAATTATTTTTTAAAACAAATGTTTAAAGTAATACAGTTAAATTTTCTAATACATTCAAATAAATAAATTTATTTTTGTATTTCCTTTTTTTATAGGTAAAAGTTTTTCTCTAAGCATAATACTTTCAACAAATCCCATACAAATTGCCACTTATAATAAAGCCATTAAAGTGACGGTAGATGGACCGCGTGAGCCACGTTCTAAAATACGGCATCCTGGTTTTCATCCGTTTGCCTTTGGGCCTCAACGTTTTGGTCCTGATCCTCTTATGGGTGGTTTACCATTTAAATTACCTGGTAAGTAAAAAATGCAAACAGCAAATAAAGAAAATCATACAAAATCACATTAATTCCCTTAGTAACAGTAAAATAAAATATATAAACCGTATGAAGTATTACAGTTATAAATATGTAGGTTTGAAAAAATCTCTGTATTTTTTTTGACTCCAGAATTTAAAACCTGCTGCTGCCATTTGTTACACTGAAACATCCATCATCATCATTTTACATGATTATGAGGCTGCTTTTTGTTTGTTGTTATTTTTTAAACCTTATTATTATCATTTTGTATAGTTGTTGCTGTTGTTTTTTTAATGTTGGCATTATAGCATTTTATGATTACCATGATTGAGTTTTTACATGCCAATCAATTTCAATCAAAATCCGTTGACGTATCATGACAGGATTTACAAAACTTTCATGTGTTTGTATTTTTCCTACAGTTGTTGTCATTGTTTTTTGTTTTCTGAAATAAATACAGAATTCTTTTATTGCGGCTTTTGGTTTGATTAACCATTTTTTTACAATTTTTTGGGATTATTATTAACAAGAAAAAAGTAAATTGGAATTTTAAATAAATTTTTTTTGAAGGAACAAATTCAAATTTTTCACACTCAATTAAAAAAGAAATTTGTAATTCCGTAATCTTTGGAACTTTTGTAAAGAGATTTCAGCATAGTCTAGTCTATAGTCTAGTCTATAGTCTAGTCGATAGTCTAGTCTACAGTCTAGTCTATAGTCTAGTCTATAGTCTAGTCTAGAGTCTAGACTATAGTCTAGTCTAGAGTCTAGACTATAGTCTAGTCTATAGTCTAGTCTATAGTCTAGTCTATAGTCTAGTCTATAGTCTAGTCTATAGTCTAGTCTATAGTCTAGTCTATAGTCTAGTCTATAGTCTAGTCTATAGTCTAGTCTATAGTCTAGTCTATAGTCTAGTCTATAGTCTAGTCTATAGTCTAGTCTTAGTCTGTCTATAGTCTAGTCTATAGTCTAGTCTATAGTCTAGTCTATAGTCTAGTCTATAGTCTAGTCTATAGTCTAGTCTATAGTAGTCTATAGTCTATAGTCTAGTCTATAGTCTAGCTATAGTCTAGTCTATAGTCTAGTCTATAGTCTAGTCTATAGTCTAGTCTATAGTCTAGTCTATAGTCTAGTCTATAGTCTAGTCTATAGTCTAGTCTATAGTCTATAGTCTAGTCTATAGTCTAGTCTATAGTCTAGTCTATAGTCTAGTCTATCTAGTCTAGTCCTATAGTCTAGTCTATAGTCTAGTCTATAGTCTAGTCTATAGTCTAGTCTATAGTCTAGTCTATAGTCTAGTCTATAGTCTAGTCTATGTCTAGTCTATAGTCTAGTCTATAGTCTAGTCTATAGTCTAGTCTATAGTCTAGTCTATAGTCTAGTCTATAGTCTAGTCTATAGTCTAGTCTATGTCTAGTCATATAGTCTAGTCTATGTCTAGTCTATAGTCTGTCTATAGTCTAGTCTATAGTCTAGTCTATAGTCTAGTCTATAGTCTAGTCTATAGTCTAGTCTATAGTCTAGTCTATAGTCTAGTCTATAGTCTAGTCTATAGTCTAGTCTATAGTCTAGTCTATAGTCTAGTCTATAGTCTAGTCTATAGTTCTAGTCTATAGTCTAGTCTATAGTCTAGTCTATAGTCTAGTCTATAGTCTAGTCTATAGTCTAGTCTATAGTCTAGTCTATAGTCTAGTCTATAGTCTAGTCTATAGTCTAGTCTAGTCTAGTCTAGTCTATAGTCTAGTCTATAGTCTAGTCTATAGTCTAGTCTATAGTATAGAATAGCCATCACCTAAACAATTAATAATCCATTTACTAATCAGATACAAAGTCATACGTATTAAATAACTATACTATAGCTACAGAAACAGGTGCCATTTATCTTAAAAAATATTTAGACAAGTCCTTTGGTAACACGTGTTTTTTCTGCCGCATTTATTATTAAAATAAATGATTTATATAACCTATATTTAAATTTTATTCTTTTTATAACCACCACCATCTAAAATCTAACACAAAACTATTTTAACCTACAATTCTCTTTCTAAATATGTATGTAATCCCTTTTAAAAACTTTTACTTTTTAACACTTTCATTTCAAAATTTGTCAAAAAACAGCATAAATAAGTGTGTTTGAATGTGGTACAAAAATTTTTATTATTAAATTCACGCCTTATTATATAAATTAAATTTCGTTATACTAATGACAAAGACATTTGGTGACTTAAATAAAATATGAAGTCAAAATATGCTATAATAAGCACCCCTTTAATAGTCTTTTTACTCAGCACCCTGGCGGTAACTGTTAAAAATGTTTTGGGAGACACATTGAACCCATTAAATGCCATATGATGCCTCAAACTACAAAGACAAGACATTACCAGAAGCACGGTAGTAGTAGCATTTGGAAGTCGCGAACAGTAGTTAAACAAAAGCGATAACAAGTACCACCAATAATCAGAATAATAATAAGAGCAGCAACCCTGTTTAACCTTGTTTTGTCGAATATTTTTTCATAAACACAAAATTTATGTAAATTATGTCTCATGTTCACAAACTTGTCTCTATTTAATATAAAAATACACAAGCACACAGAAACATTTACATTTTGTACAAAACGCTAAGGATATTTTGGTGTTTATCCTTTAAATTCATGGTTGATGTTGTCGTCATCTATATAGCTGTAGTATTTGTTGTTGTTTACGTTGTCCTTGTTGTGTTATTTTATAACACGCGCGCCTTTTCGTTTGCCTCACTAACCAGTCAGTCAACCAACCAACCCTTCAATATCAATTCCATTTGGCAAAATGAAACGTTTATATTGTTGTTGTAATTTCAATCCAATTTTAAACAATTCTTAAGTCATTGTCTTTAAAATGTGTTATTTTAACAGTTTTAGCCTCTGGTGCTGCTACTCTGCTTCATATGTTTTTGTAGTTTAAAGGATTAAACATTTTAATGGATTTTAAACTTTTCCAAATTATATAAAGAAATGCTTATATGCTAAAAGAAAAGAGTTTAAAGAGTTTTCGAAGCTGTTGTTGTTATTATAATTGTTTTATTCGGATTGTGTTCTACCATCATTATCGTTCTTGTTGATAGAAATATCTGTATACTGCAAAAAATTTAACTAAAGGATAACAAAATTGTGCCGAAGAGACAGGATATCTAGTAAGATTTAAAAATCGAATGAAAGAGACAATTCGAATTCAATTAGAATTCAGTTCCAGTTCGGTTCAAGTACAGTTATGGTTCAGATCTAGTTCAGTTCTAGTTCAGTTCTAGTTCAGTTCTAGCTCAGTTCTAGTTCAGTTCTAGTTCAGTTCTAGTTCAGTTCTAGTACAGTTCTTCTAGTTCAGTTCTAGTTAGTTCAGTTCAGTTCTAGTTCATTTCTAGTTCAGTTCTAGTTCAGTTCTAGTTCAGTTCTAGTTCAGTTCTAGTTCAGTTCTAGTTCAGTTCTAGTTCAGTTCTAGTTCAGTTCTAGTTCAGTTCTAGTTCAGTTCTAGTTCAGTTCTAGTTCAGTTCTAGTTCAGTTCTAGTTCAGTTCTAGTTCAGTTCTAGTTCAGTTCTAGTTCAGTTCTAGTTCAGTTCTAGTTCAGTTCTAGTTCAGTTCTAGTTCAGTTCTAGTTCAGTTCTAGTTCAGTTCTAGTTCAGTTCTAGTTCAGTTCTAGTTCAGTTCTAGTTCAGTTCTAGTTCAGTTCTAGTTCAGTTCTAGTTCAGTTCTAGTTCAGTTCTAGTTCAGTTCTATTCAGTTCTAGTTTCAGTTCTAGTTCAGTTCTGTCAGTTCTAGTTCCCAAGGTCTATTTCAGTCTAGTTCAGTTCTAGTTCAGTTCTAGTTCAGTTCTAGTTCAGTTCTAGTTCAGTTCTAGTTCAGTTCTAGTTCAGTTCTAGTTCAGTTCTAGTTCAGTTCTAGTTCAATTCTAGTTCAGTTCTAGTTCGGTTCTAGTCAGTTTTGGAATTTAGATTCTTTTTCATATCATAAATTGTATATTCCATTTTTTCTCAGTGTTTATAACATTTAAAAAAGCCTGTCTACCTACCATCTACTTGAGTAAATATTTATTTGCTCATTGCTCTTTTTTCAAGTATTTTGCTTTGTAATGTATTTAATTTCTTGAGCTTTAAAAAATATATTCATTCATTCACCTCCTTGGAAGCGTATTCTAAATTCATGTCTATTGTCTTTTATGTTATTTTAAGTGATTGCGACAATTTCGTTGATGAGCGAACGAGAAGGGGTTGTCTAAATACTCATGAGTCGGTTGGTGTTAATCTCTTCAGCTGTCTGTTTGTCTATAGTAGTTGTCGGTCTTAGAATTGATAATAATGATTATTGTTTTAATGGTTGTATAAATATTTATGTGTAATAATATGTTGCTTTTCTGTGTTGGCAGTGATTGTAATTAGAAATTAAAGAATGTCTTGCAAAATGTCGCATTTAAGGGGAGATATTAAATGATGTATTTTCTAAAAAGAGTTGTGTTGGTTTAGTTTAATACAAATTTGGTTAGAAGATAAAAATAGAACTGGTAGCAAATGATTTTACTTTAATTAAACATAATTTGCTTGTTTTTGTTAAGCCAAAAGTTGAAGTGAAAGTTATGTCTGATTTTTTAACATGTTAGATTTAGATGTTTTTTTTTTTATTTGTAAAGAAAAATTTAATTCGTTTCACTTAAGAAAATTACTATTTTTTCGTGTCTTTTGATTATTCTCAACAAAATTTTCTGCCAAAACTTTTCTACGCCCTTTCTGTTCAATATAATTATCCTTAAACTCAAAGTAGTTTTTGTAAATACTAAGGCCCCTAGAAGTATGCAACTATTTTTGCTTTGAAAATAGAAAAACTTTTTATGTTTATTTCATAAAAAACAAGTGGCCACATAAAGTAGTTTTCCAAAAGACTTTGTTTTTTCCCTCCTGTTTGTGAAAAACAGCAAAACAATATGCAAAACTTATGTTGACATTAAAAAACAGAGTTTTCTATATGGAAATTG